AAGGTGTTAACAGAACATAAGCAAATCTGCAGCTTCTCTTGAGTTACAAAAGTCCTTTTCACAGAACACAGAGCAGCAACAAAAATTCACATCAGAGAAGTGAATAAGACTGACCTTAACAGCTGCTGAAGCTAAGAGCTTCATGCTGATAGGTGGGCGGGGCTTCTGGTCAAAGATGACGTGATGTTTTGGCCGAAGAGATGACTCTGAGCTCCTCCCCTGTGAAAACATAACAAGGAAATACAAGGAAAGGATAATTTCTTTATCATTTCCTTGAAGTAATAATCATCATATTAATCATTTTACAGACGCGGTAGTTCTTCTGTCTTAGCGTCTCGGTCTGATTGTATTTCCATGAAGAAATGATTATACAGGGCTCTCAAGTTTTGAACTAAGCTTAGAGTGAGATTTCCTTGGGGGGGGGGGGGGGGTCGAAGAGTGATTGAAGATAATTATTAGTATAATAATCTAATAAATACAATGGAGTATGAGGGCCACATTAAGAAAGAAAAAAACATTTTTAAATCTTTGAGATTAAAGTTATTATTTAGGAGAATAAAGTCATTAATGACTTTAAGAATAAAGTAGTTAAGTTACCTGTTGTGGAGGAGAGTTGTTAAAATCAGCACTGAGGAGCATTTAGATGAATTGTACTTTAGTATAGGTGTCACAAACATGGAGATACTTAATTCTTTGGTATATCAGCATTACACTGTCACGAGTATCAGAACTTTAAAAAGAATATATGAGAAATGCTGCTTTTGTGGAGGGGAAATGGCTGTACAGAGGCTAAATTCATCAATGCAGCTGTTAATAGCAATAGCATAGGGCTTTAGTTTATCATATGAGTTTATCTGCCATGAGGTGTTGAGGTCTCTGCATGTGTAGGTTACTGACTTACTGTAATCATCGGGTCTATCTCGGCCTTATAAAAACCTGCTCTATTTCGGCAAGTGTCTGTCTTCTTCTGTAGTCAAACCGCAAGATATCAAAATCTACCCAGATACAGCAATGCTGCTTTTTGATTGGCTGTTCAGTAAATATACTTTATTTGATTGGCTTGCGCGTGGCACGCAACTTAGGAACTCTCGGAGAAACTCCGTTGATTTCCCCCTGTTCCATTGTTAAAGAGGTGCAACTTGGTGGACATCACCATGTTCATTTAAATGCGTGAGAAATACAATGTGTGAGCGTGTGAACGAGTGGGAATGCGTGTGTCTCACGCTGAATGCGGGAGACTTGAGAGCCCTGGATTATAAATGTTCTTCCTTGAGCTGTGTCACCCCACTGTAGTCGATGGACTCAGTCATTTTAACCGTGCCGCTTCATCAGAGTGAATTTAAGTTTCAAAGACATTTATCTGTTATTCTAATATTGACATGACCAAGCAGCACTACAGAACTTAAATTAAGTGTGAATTTGATCTACAGACCTGCTTTAATATGACAAATGTAATAAAATTATCAATATTTGTCGACACAGATGACTCCTTTTCAGATTAAGGTGACAAATCATCACAACAGCCTGTAAATGTAAGTTATTTCACTCATCAGGTTTCTGTGTTTTAGAGAGTAAAGACATATAAAAAGGCACTTTGACGGTTTAAAGTTCATGTTTTAACTCTGCGGTTCTCAGACACCAGTTTACAGGGGGCGCTAACGAGCTAGGGCTGCTAATTAGCTTCACTCCTTCTGACTTTGCTCCGTTTGTGACATTTTTGTGGTAAAACTGTGATTATTCGACAGAAAGAGCAGTTTCAGTACCTTCAGTTTAATATTCTATAGTTGTAGTTCCGTTTTAATCTCTTATTAATCCAAACGAACCTGCTCGGCCGTTTCGTCGTAGTTGTTTGGTTCTTCTTCTGTTGTTTGATTAGGTGTAAACTGTGAACTGTTGTTAGCGCCCTCTGCCGCCCCCTGTTGCCTGGGAGTGTAACTATCGGCTTATTTTGCTTGCATTTCCCAGGTTGGCTTCATAGTTAAAGCTTCTTTAAATATTTTTTTCTACGCACTTTTAATGTGGATTATTAATTATTATTATAAATTATTGCAGATAAATACTTCAGATCATTACAAATGGGGCCCAGTCAAGGTGAAAGTCAAAAGCATTGGTGCTACTGTAGATGCCAACAGACTACCAGCAAACACAATGTTTGCAGGACTTCTACAACTAGGATAAAGTGACATAGTCCAGGACCCGAGGTCAACAATTTAGCGATGGCGCTACAACACGCTACAGCAGGTCCGTTTGACAAGAAACACTTCTGTTACAGACACTTGTCTTACTTTGTTAAAGCGGTTTACCTGTCCAGCAGAAAGGTTACAGGGTCACCAAGATCCCCAAGCGTCCCCCATCGTTTACGTTGACCCGGCTTTTTAGCTCTTGTCCGGTCTACCTCCGTTTGAAAAAAAATCATTCTGAAGGATATCAAAGTCTGTGATATAAACTGCTGATGTTTGTTCTGTTTCTATGGTCTGTTTTGAGCTCTTCTGTCCAGGGTCCACAGGTATAAATCACCTGTACAGGTAACTCTGGCTCAGCAGGAGTCTTCTTCATGGTTTAACGGTTGAATAAACAAACAGACGTGAACTCGGCCCTCCTCACAGGCGGAGAGCATCAAGCCTCCGTTTTAAACAACACTCTTACACGTGTTAACAGATTTATGGAAAAGGTTAACGTCCCTGTGTTATTCTGCTCAGGCGCTGCCATTTTACCCCCCTTCTCTTCCTCCTCCTCCTCCTCCTCTTCCTCCTCCCCACCTCCCTGGCTGGGAAACAGGGGGGAACAGGAGCCCATTTCCCTGCCACCATTATGCTCATTTGTCCTGTCAAGAGAATGACAGGCCGGTTGACTCTTCCCCAGATACGACCATTAGGTAACGCTCTGTCATCTGACAGCGAGGCATTCTGCCGCTCCCTAAAAACCCCCTAATTATTTCCTTCGCCAGAGACAGGCGGCGGCGGGTAGGTAATTTTTAACCTTTCACGTGCACCTGGGGAACCCTCCTCCGGGGAGCCAAGGTGCCTGTGTGGCATTCAGTCATCAAAACATGACCTTTTATGGCCGTTCGGAGAGCAGTTGGCACCGGGTGCCACGCGCCGGCTAATGCTAATGTTGATGACTAATTTATGCATCAGCCGACCGCATCTGCAGCAAGTTTAGAGGAGCAACAACGTGTGATAGAGCGGTGAGAGGAGAGGAGGAGGAGAGGGGGGACACATCAGCAGAACAAGCAGAGGTGAAAGGCATTTTGGGGGAAGGGGTGGGGCTTTAGAGACACCCGGTAGCCTGGCACGACAGGGAATTGAAGGGCTAATTATGTTGCAGGGAATACATTCAGCGTGACCAGCGAGCCTTTTTAGAATTTGTCGAGAGCAATCTGACTAACGTGGCTGACCTTTACTTTTTTAGCCCAAATTGCAGGAGACCAGAGAGCATGCAAGATGTGTGCATATTCTCTGACCTAATTGCCTTTTTTCTCGTGCAGCCAGGAGTGTGAGATGTCAAAAATCAGCTCGTCCTGAGTGCATGTTAGAGATTACAGCATACACAACAACATGTTTACAGTGTGTTTACACTCAGACTCGAGAAAACACTTTTCCCCACCTTCACTTCGCTGTGTTAGAGCTCCTCAGAGGAGAATTTAGCAGGTGATAAAACAAGCCAACATGTTTATGTCTTTATATGACCATAAAACCAAAAAGAAGAAGAGGACAGGTTCTTTCTTTGAGGTTGTTTTAACGGCCTGATGAAGAAGCATCAAGAAAATTCATCATCATGAGCTGCACACTAGACACTTAACTCCAGTAAACGAGACTGTGAAGTCCAAAAACAGGTCCAACAAATGAGAGATAAGCTGCTCAAGATAGTGCGATTGTCCACAAGGGGGACAAGATGGACGAACAACTTCAATCTCTTTCTCCTCTGAGAATTATTTGCCTGCAACGATCAGGTTTCATAGTTTTGAGAGCTCCCTGAGGCGGGGAGAGCATCAGCAAAGTCTGTCCCCTAATATGGGACTGTGGGCTGAGCTTGACTTTGAGGCCTGTCTGAACTAACACCTCTCATTTAGTCCAGGATATAAATATTCAAACCTTCAAATGTTTGCCTCGAAAACTCTGAACCCGTGTTTTTCAGAGTCTGAAAAATCCAACATGTCCTCTTTTTTTTTTCTTCAGAGGACAAAGATGGGTGAGGACGAACAAACGCCTCCTGCTCTGTCAGCCGGTCCAGAGCGATGAAGAAGAGGGTGACAGAGACGTTTATGTGGGAGCATAAAATATAAAATACGGCCTCGGGGTCTACAGAGATCTGACAAAAAGCCTGCCTGTTTATAATCTTGACCAAAATTCCTCCAAGTCCATAAATTGTTATTATGGTGAAGTGTCTGCAGACAAATGGAGGTGTTGTGGTGAAGAGGAGATGAATTCCACGCAGAGGAGGGAGGAGGAAAATGAGCGGATCCGGCTAATCGGATCAAAAAGTAAGTGATGGTGCGATCCGGCTTGAAAAACATAATTTGTATGAATCAGGCCGGCGTGCGTGCATTTGCAAAACATGTCAGGCTCTTTTGTGCTCTCTGGCTCTCTGTGTTTCCACCGTCAGCAGAGGAGGAAGCTGATGAACTCTTTGTTTAGACAAATCAGGGAAATTACGCTGTCTTCTTTTGCCTGGAAAGCGTGATTTTTTACCCCCTCCCTCTTATTTTCTGACTGTGTCTCAACTCGTGCAGAAAGGTCACGGCACAGCGTTTCCCTCGGAGCAACGTAGCGCAATAAAACACAAGTAAACACAAAGCAAGACGGATTCAAGCCGCCGCAGCCATTAGTGATTTATACGGGCTCCCTAATCCCTCAGTAAGGCCGCCCTGCTGCCATTAAGCTTGAAAATTACGTGTTTTATCAAGAGCAGCGGCTCTCACCTGAGTATTGGATTACTGAAATAAAATATGAATAATTAATACTGAGAAATAGGTTCCTGGCAACAGGAGTGGCTGCAATTTAATAATGAGCATTATGTTTCTGCTGTTTTCTCCTCCTCTGCTGTCGTTTCATCTTCTCCGGTTTCTCTACCAGGGGACTCCGTGCATCCTCTTCCTTTCCTTCTTCTCCTTCTTCTTCTTCGTTGGTGCTCCCTCGGCCAGGTCGGCCACCGGGGCGAGAGACCTGCATCCTTCCTCTCTTCTTTCCTCCCCTTCATCTTGTTTTTTCTTTAATAAGCTGCCGTTAAATAAATTAGAAAATACCCACCCAGGGGTGATCAGACGGCCACAAACCCTTGTCATCTGTCTCCCGGCGCTGCCAGGCAAACGAGAGCGAGGGAGGGGAAGAAGAAGAAGAAGAAGAAGAAGAGGAAGAGAGGAGGACAGCCAGGATTTCTTCCTCTCCTTCTTTTTCTGGCTTGGCGATTCTGTCAGAGGTGAGAGGGAGAAAAGGCGAGAAGAGGAGGCTCGTTTTCACCCTGCCAGACAACCGGAGGGGAAAAATCCCTCCATACATCCATATTTATTTAATGCGGCGAGAGAATACATAAGGAGGAGAGGAAGGAAGGGAAGGAGACAGGGAGGGAGAAACTTTGCTACATATGGAGTGCTTCTTACAACTAATCAGCAGACTGTTGGTGATTGGGGCCGCGGGCGCCAGGTTGGCTCCAACCAGAGTTAGCACAGTGCCCAGGTCTTTGCTGCAGGCTGCACAGGTTGGCCTCAACTCTGCTGGGGAGCAGATGGCGAGCCAAAGCTTGTAGTCACACTTACCTTCCCCACTAAATCCCTAATCCCTCCGTGGACGCTCCTCCAAGGCAGGTTTTTGGAGGCAGAAATAGGGGTTACAATCTGGACCGGTGCGGCGCCTGCCAAAACACTCACAACACAGAAATGCAAATTAACTTATTTGTGTTGTCCGCCGGCCAAGGCGCCGCTTCTTTTGCGAGTAATTAAGATACCTTGAAAAATGTTTGTAAGAGATCAATAATTTGAAATGTAAGGATAACAATGAAGAGAGAGCGCAGGAGTGAGCGAAGGGTGTTATTTTTCTTTTAAACACACACCCCTCCTCTCCATCTGCAGCCCCATCACTCCTTTATTTACAAAGAAAATAGTCCCTCAGGTGTCCGCCGCGTCCACCTTTTGATTTCCTCTAAAAACTCGGACATTACAGCCGCCGAAAAACCGTAACCTGGAGGTCCTACATGTGCAAAAATGACGTGTAATATTCCTTTAATGCTGCACACTAAAAAAAAACAGGAGAAGAAAAAAGAAAAAAACAAGCGCCCCCTGAATCAGTAGCTGTTAGAGGAGGCGTAGGAGCCTCGGTGACACCTTTCAGCTGTGCTTGTTGGCTGTCGAACACACACGCACTCGCACACACTCACACATTTACACACTCACACACACACACACTGTTATTAGCCCGGTGTCAGCAGCACTAAATGGGCTGCAGATGTTAAGGCGCTGTTTTAGATACAGTGGCAGGAAAAAGAGGCCGAGCAGAAGAACTAAATACAGAGAGAGAAAACACACGTTCATTAGAGAGAAACACGGCGAGCATAATTCAGAGGTGAGGCTTTATAAACAGCTCTGTTTAAACACAGAGGCTGTGTTTGAAATCCAGAAAAAAAAAACATAGACACTGTGTAGGTTTCACTTCTGTCTCACAGTTTATGTGCAAAGGCTTAAAACATGCAGAGAGACTGAGGAGGTGTCAGACACTTTTAATGCATTTAACTCTGCAAACGACTTCTCAATGCAAACGAAGCTGGACACTGGAGGACGTTATCGCTCATTTACAGTTTGATCGGTTTGTTCTGGACGTCAGGTCAGCAGTGTCTGTGCAGAAATAAGAGAAATCTTCTCATCTGAACTGAATATCATTATTGAGGTATAAAGTCCTGATGCATTATTTAGAGGAGCAGTTTAAAAGTCTGTTTTTCTCTGTGAGCCGCGTGATTCGCTCGGTTATAAGTTTTTAATAAAATAACTTTAATTTTCTGCAGATGACAGCAGCCTAAAGCAGCTGCAGAAACTTTAAAATCTCTCTTAAAACTCCTGTGAGGAACTTTCTGTTTGTGTGAATGTTGGCGCCCCCCTGTGGACAAAGTGGTTATCTCTGTAATGATCCTGTCATGATTTTTTAACAGTGTACATCACATACCTGTGTTTTTTTAAATGCTTTAGCGTGCTGAATATTGTAAATCTGTAAAAGAGGACTGTTGATGACCTCTAACAAGTGCTTTTAAACTATTAAATAATAAAAAATCCTCACAGGAGCTTTAAAGGATGTTTTATTGGTACATTTTGTATTTGTGCAAGTCTTAAACGTGCAACAAATTTATTCATGTTTACATATTTGTCCTCTTTTTGATCCACTCTGTGATTTAAGATGCTAAAAATAACCAAAATAAATTCAGTTTACTGTCACCAGAGAGGACAAAAAATAGTTTTTTATTCATATTTAACCTGTTAGAAAAAGGATTTAACTTTTTCGTCTTAAAATTTTATACTTTTCCTTTGGATTGATCGTTAAAATCACTCTCAGCTGATCTCTTTGGGATTGCATCTCTTTAAATTTGATTTTAAAGACAATAATTTAAACAAACTTCAAATTTTCATAAATAAGATTTTAAATAAAAAACCTACTGAGGGGATCTGTTTGAATATGTAGAAAAAATCTCTTGAAATCGAGTCTCAAACGTGTCAAACTTTCTCAAATTCTGGACCTGTTTTGTGATTTTTATGAAGTTTTAGGATTTTTCTGCCATAATCTTCTAAATTCTGATTAAAATCGACTCTTTATCACGTAGAAAAATCTCCCTCTTTGCCGTCCCATCGGACTGAATGTCTGTCCCTGAGTCTGGTACAGTAAGACGGTCTGAGAGGCCTCTGGGAGCAGCCAGGCGGATCAAACGACCTCCCCAGTCTCCCACCAGATGTCCTTACTGGGACGGGTTCAGATGGTCCCAGCGAGCGGCGAGGGAAAGGTCAGAGTCACACAGTGGGTTAAACTGGACCCATCATGAAACTGGCTGCAGCCGTGAGTCCGTGCAGCACCGGCAGGGATTATTTCAATTAAGGCTCATGCTGTCTGAACGCCGGATTACAACCGGGTTATGGAGGCGGGACACATCTGAACACGGCGCCGGGTCAGACGGGCGGATTATACGGCTCAGATATGACAGACAGACGGGTATAATTAGTGTTTATACAGGCACAGAAACAAGTCGGTTTTCATGCTTTTTTCGCACATAAGAGGACGCAGACTTTCACGACTTTCTCTCCTCGTAAGTTTTTCATCGTGACACTTTGTGGTCTGAGACGGTTAAAGGTTTAGGATGGGAGTTTGGAGAAGCTGCAGACCAGTTTCCTCTGAGGGGAGGGGCTGAGGAGCTGCAGAGGATGACGTCTTTCAGAGATGAAGTCCTTGTTTTGATGTTTGCGTCTCCGTGCTGCTTGGTTGTGCACCGTCACGGCTGAGGTTTCGACCAGGAGAGACAGCTGCAGCCACTCTGCAGGTTCCTGTGTATAAACGGCCTCAAACATGGAGTGATAAAAACTTTGAGGGTCAAAAGTTTAAATGAGAGACGGAGCAGAAATATTCATTGGGCGACTCTGCTCCAAACAGCCGAGTATGATATCGAATTCCTCTTCGCATAACTCGCTGGGATCCTCGCCTTGCAGAGTCGAGGTGGCCGATATCTGATTTTCCCGACCTAAAACGCTCGCCTTGTATGAAAATGAGACACATTACCGCTCCATTAATTGATCCGGCCCCTGCTTTGAAATGTGGACCTCCCTGAGAATCAGAAATTAGGGGCCAATTAGGTGAGTCCTCGCCGTGTCTCCTCTGTCGCATCTCAATCAGCCGAGCCCGTCCACAGGTGAAATGCCAGACGCAGCCGCCGCTCGCTGCCGTGAATGCTAAAGGCCGTCGGGTGCTAATGCTATTCATGTCCAAATCATGCCGTGCATACAGCTCAGAGGGCAGAGGCTAATCGTCTCTGATTGTCTGCTTTAACTTTCATGATGTTCTCCTCTCAGACGGTGATACCTCCTCTACCTTCCTCTTCATCCTCGCCCAGAGCAGCAGCAGCAGAGCGGCTCCTCGTCTCCTCTTTCAGAGATTTGACATTTTATCTTGAAGCTGATCCAGTGTGTAAAAAAAGTTGGACCTGACCCTGAACTCCACATCAAGTCTGAATGTTTTGTCTCCAAAAATTAGTAAAAAATAGTTAGAAATTATAAATATTAATTTATGAGCGTGCCGGTCTCACACAGTGAGTGGATTTTAAAGACGTTTCTGTGTGGTTTTACTCTGTCGTTTACAACAACGTCGCCTTACCCTGAATATGAGACAGTCCTGCTTTATTTAAAGGGAAGAAACCCAGTTTTATATTCAGGATAATTCACTTTTAAGACCGCTAAATAACAGGAAACTGTGTCTCTGATCACAGGTTTTATAAACACACTTATTAAATAACATTTGGGAGGCATGTGCAGATAACAATGTTGTTTGCTAACACATGAAAACACTCACTTATAACAGGAAAAGGCTGCGTTGCATAAATTTGAATAATTCAAGCTGTTAAAATGATAATATTATTGAGTATAAATAAAAGATGTATACCCTATAAGAAATTCGGCATAAAGCGACAAATATTTCTTAATTATTCGGAGACGTTTCGCCCGTTATTCTCCTCCTGACGGGGCGAAGTCGTACCTGATAATCAGGTGTAGCAGAAACGCTCGCGGCAGCGGCGGCAGCGTTTCCTCGTCCCTGACAGGCGTGAGCACTTTAAAGGTAGAGTAAGGTACACCCTGCTGTTTTCTCAAAGGCGCACTCTCTGAAATATGAATGAGCAGGCAGTCTATACATCATGTTCGCTGACATGTTGTATTAAAATTTATGAACGACTTCATCAAAAAGCACTTTCTGCCAGACAGATTTGCCCTGACATCCGAGTTACATGGCTGGTTGAAGCCTCAGATAAATGTGTGTGTGTGTGTGTCAATGAATAAGTGTGAAATTATGTGTACTGTGAGCTCGCACACCAGCACCAGTGTGAGTGTGTATGTGTGTGTATGTGCTGGGCTTGAATTCAGGGAGTGTGCAGCCTAACCAGAACAGAGTACAGATATTTTTTGTGCCTGTAATTAAAATAAAAGCAAAATAAAGAAAAAAAAAACAAGTTTGAATGAAAGGAAATTAAATTTTAGTGCATTTAAATTAAATCAGGGAACATTTAAAATGTAAAATAATGAGTATCAGGGAAATTTGAGTTTTTTTAAGGCTTGTTGAAATATTTCCAGAGATTTTTCATGAGTTTATGTGAGCGATCATGAGTGTTTATGTCTTAAGGAGTGTGGAGGTGCACCTTTTTATTATTTGCATATGTGATATGCTCTTTTTGTAGCATTTAACCTTTAGAAAATGAAGATGGAAAATAAATTTCTGTGCCTGAAACGTACAAAAACACCTCAAACATGATTGGTTAATGACCGAAAAGAAAAACTGCGACTCAAAAACTCAAAAGTTTCCAGGGTTAAAAATGCAAACTGTCTGTAAACCTGCCTAATGTGAACAAACAGGAGTCCCTCAACAGCACTTAATGATAAAAACACACAAGCAGAGTGTGTGTGTGTGAGTGTGTGTGTGTGTGTGGGTTATGAAATAATACCTGTCATCTGCCGACTGCTGAACCCTGAAAAGGGGGCAGGTTTTCCAGGTCAGCCTGCCATCTGTCAGCGCAGCCCTCTCCTGTTCCCGCACATTAGCACCTGATTGGCTGGAACTGGACGGAGGTGGGCGGAGCCAGCGGCAAACCCCCTGCAGGGACCCAGCAGAGGCAGTCACACTGAGAGGAGACGCTGCAAAAGATGAGAGGAAGAGACGACATGAACACGCGCTCACGCTGTGAAACACAACACGGGTGTAAAGGTGCAGTACGCAAAAAAATACACAAGAGCGGCACATTTCTGACTCTGAGTTAAAGTTTGTGGAGAAATAAACGTAAATTTTCCAACATAAGAAGAGTGAGTGTCTCGGGGTAAACTCAGAGAAACAGTAGAAGAAGAAGCTGCACACTGACTCAACTTTAATAATCCCACAGGATCAGATAAATGAACGACAACAACAGGTGCTCAAACCCCAAGAGAGTAAACTAACACAGAAGCAAATCTTTATCTTTAAATATTATTGAAGTGTAACAGAGGATGTCGGCTCTATCACATTTCTCTTCTCACAGAATCACACCGATCACTCTTCCTGAGAAACTTTGACACCTCTGAAATTCACAATAAGCTGTTTGTTGGTCACCTGGGCCTGTTTGTGCAAAACTAGAAGAATAAAACATAGAATTTGGAGGCTGAAAAATGCACAGAGAAGACAGATTTATTCTGATATTCCAGGTGTTAAGATTTGCCTCAAAACCCCTCCAGACTCCGCTCACAAAAACAGTTGTTTCATTTTCTCAAACTCTCTGGTCGGTTTCTGAAAAATAGACCAAAAATATGTCAAACTGTGGTTCAGGTTTAGAGAAGAAACAAATCCTCTTAAAGACACAGGTTGTGATTTTGGCACGTCGGTTCACGCAGCAGAAATGAGGTGAAACAAACGTTAACAGTACGGATTATTATTCTGTAATCATGTACAAAACACAGGAGCTCCATACGCTTCCTCCTCTCCTCCCTCCTCTCCTCTCTCCTCTCTCCCTTCCTCCCTCGCTAGTTCAGCTGTCTGGTCAATGGGACCGGGGCGAGGAGCCAAGCATGTACAGCCAAGCCTGCCCCCCCCCTCCTCCCCCTCGCCCTCCCTCCCCCCTTCCTCTCCCATCCAGACGGCCTCCTGTTCAGCTGTGCCGCTCGCCGCAGGTTTCCAGCCAGGTCAGATGTTCAACACGGGCGACAACATGTTCGCTCCTCACCGCTGTTCTCTCTCTCTCTCACACACACACACACCTACACACACGTACCTCCCCACAGATAGAGGGTTTGTTTTTTTTGGCAGGTAGGAAATTAACAATGCAAACCCCCTCTACCAAAACCCAAACTAATGAAGTCGTGCTAATTAAACTTTGTTAATGCAGGTTTTATGGAGTGGAAGTGTAGCTGCAGTCAGAGAGGAGTCCACAGAAACACAGCGCAGCTTCACACTCGCTTTCTTTGAATATTTACTACACTTCACATCCTGTTTTAAAGCAGCAACGTTCATTTTCCTCAAATACGTTAAATTTCAACTTTGTGTCAATTAATGCAAATGAATTAAGTCCATTAAAACTCTTAATTTGACATTTTTAGAGGATTTAATATTAAACTTCACTAAAAATACCGACTATCACCGCCTGCTCATGACCTTATTTACACGTTTGTTTCTGTTGAACTTTAACTTTTATGATCTCTTTATTCTGAAACTTGTTGATTTTGTCATTTTTACCTGCAAATCATCGTTTTCAGCACATCGTTACGACGAAGAGAGGTGAGATCTTTTATTAAAATAAATCAAATACTCCGGTCGTGTTTACAGTAAAGAAACTTCTGTGCAGCAGGTTTAATTTTGCAGAATTATGAGGAAATTTTTTCTGTTTTTTGTTGTATTTTCTGTCCTGATTTTGCAGGTTTAATTTTTCCCGTGCATCACTTCTGCAGAGTTTTTTTGTGCACAGGTGTTGTCAGGTTCCTGAATCACCTCCTCCTCTTCCTCCTCCTCCTCCTTATGCAGGAGTGATGCACATCTCCATCTGTGACCTCTAGGAGGATCTCCAAGAGCCTGTGGGTTATGAAAGTCCCATAAACCTCCAGCTAATGGACAGAGAATTTCAAACATGCAGGAAGGCGACGCAGACACAGTTTCCTCTCGTACTGTAAATTCTCTCTCTCTCCCTCACACACACACACTCACTCACACACTCTCTCTCTCTCTCTCTCTCTCTGCAGCAGTGGTCTGAGTCAAAGGTGCAGGGCTGCCTCGCTCGCTCGCACGCCCAGGTGCAGAGCAGATAGGGTTGCAGCGCGTAAAGGGCTAATTCCGGCGCGGCTGTGGGAACGCCAGCTGCCCCCGTATTTCTCAAAATGTTGAAATTGTTTTGGATTCGTGCGCCAACAGAAGGACTCGACATGCAAGAGTGAAAGCAGCTCGTTTCCCGTGTCTTCCCACGTCAATAAAATAACCGCTCGGTACCGTGGCAAAAAACGAACTTCTGTTCTGCAGGCTCCCCTCCTCGCCCCCGCCGACGCCGCCTCGCCCTCCCCCCTCGGTGTCTGATAGATGAGACTCAGTGTTTTCCTTTAAAGCAGCAGAGAATATGTTTGACCATTAAAACGAATCACAAACAGGAGAGTCAAACGTTTCCCCCCTGACCTCTGACCTTCCCGTAAACCCGCCGTCTCCGAGTCTGAAGCCGTAGCGAGCCGCTCTCCTTCAGCGCAGTCCTGCAACCTTTAAACCTCCCTGAACCGGCCTTTGTTTAGCTGCTGTGAACGCACCCTGAGAGCTCATGTCTGAAACACACCGCAGATTTGGGAGGAATAAACGTCTGTTTGGTTCAGATCAGATCTGCAGGATGGAGGTTCAAGTGTTGAAGAGTCTGAAAAAATCTATATTTTTAAAGTCAATGAGGAGGAACAGCAGAGAAAGGTCCAAATTATCATAAACTTTTCATTATTTTTGAACTCTAACAACAAAATAAAAGACTCTCCTCCTTATGTCTGAAAGCTTTTTACATTTTTCTACATTTTATCCCGTTAATCTCAAACTTTATTAACTCCAACTGTCTTTATTCATGATTTTCTGTCAGTATTGAGCAGCAAAATCATAAAAAAGGTGACGTTTCTGTCTTAGTGTTGTATTTTTAATGGTTTTATCCCTCTATTTTGACCTTATTCTCGCTCTTTGTTGAAGAATCTGCAGGAATTTTCTTAAAAAGTCGATCCAATGAGGAAAAAAGGTTTTCATTGCAATAGACTTGTGACTAATCGGAACTTTGAAAAAGATATAAAATTTATTGGGTTTTTTTGGAGCAACTTTTTATGAAATTCACCTAAAATTACAGTATTTTTATCACGTTTTTTTTTTAAACCTGCAGGATAAAAAATAAATAAAAACTTTGAAACTTATTCAAAAATGTTTGTTTTTCTTTTATTAAAATCCATCTGTCATCACTCATCAATATTTTGACTATGAATATTTGAATATTTTTTTCTTTTTTTTTAGAATATTGATTTTTTTTAAATCTTTAAAAAAATTATTTTAATTTGTAAACCTGTTTAATTCAGATCAAACTTGTTAAACTCGGCTGAACTCGGCCGCTCCACACTCGACACTGTCGTCCACGCCGAACCGCAGCTCGCACACTGACCCACTGTTGATGTCGCTTTTTTTTTTTTTTTTTTTATGTGGCAGCTTGTAAATTTTTGGCGGGCAGATGTTCCCCGTCAGGCGCCGCTCGACCTGTGAGACGAGATGAGACGGTTTGGACGCCGTGGGCTGACCTGTGGAGGGAGGACGGCTCGTCCCCACCCGCCCACCCTCCTCCAGATTTGGGTTGAAGACGGATGGATGTGGACTGAGATCAGCAGAATGGCATCTGCTTAACACACCCACACACACACACACACACACACACACACACACACACACACACACACACACACACACACACACACACACACACACAGCTGAGATATTAGCATTCAGAGCAGAGCTGTTTTTCTGTTTCTGAGCAGTTTTTGTTCTTTGAAAGCGGCTCGAGAGTAAAACCACTTCACTCTTGAAATTCCTCTTAACCTCCTGGACTCTTCAGGCTCCGTCATTAACGTCTCACACTGTGGAAATAATCTAATCACGGCTCCAACTCCGACATCTTCATTTCACTTTACAGACAGAAACAAAAACATCTCGGAGAAAAGTGCCGAGAACTCTCTTCTTCTCGTCATATTTTCACATTTACGGCTCTGTCACTGCACGTCATTGTCCATATGATACATGCTGATACAAAAACAGACACAAATACTCTGATTTATGCAGTATTTGTCTTATCTATAATCAGATAAAAACAGAATAAACGGCTTTGTTTGAGTTATAGCGGTCTACATTGAACTGATTTCATGCTTCTGTGCAGCTGATTCACCTCGTCTCAGGGATCCTGCAGAAATGACTGAAAACAATAAGAAGCTGTCACTCTGGATAATCTACGTTTACACTCAAAACTTCAGGATATACAGTAAGATTATAGTCAACACGTCCTATAAGAAGTACATGATGGGAAATGTAGGATCCAGGATTTTTACAGGCTGACTAAAACCCTAAAGATCTGCTCTTTTTCTGCTGTTCTCCTCTAAATCCCTGACCACGTCTTTACCGTTTTAAAATCCTTAAAAACAAGGAAATGTAAATCATTTAAATCCCTGATATTAGGTCCATAAACGGGGGATTTTAAGGGTAGGGGCTTAAATCTGACATGTATCTACCCTCCTGAACTACTAAAAATTTTACCTTTAACATATAAAGTTTGAACTCTTAACCAAAAGTTCATAATTAATGATGAATGTGACACTTTTTAATCTAACAAACCACGTCTGACCTGTTTTCTTCAAATTAAAGGCACTATCAGGAGATTTCATGTTGATTTGGGGGTTTTTTGACTACATTTCCCATGAGCACCATCACCCGCTTGCATTTACAGTAGAAGAAAACATATAAGAACAGATCTTTTTTCCACTAAGTCTTTTCTTCATTCAGTAATAAAACTAAAGTGGAGTTTCTGAGGGGTCACGGCGACTCTCAGGTGTGACATGTAGAGATTATTCTGCTTTTATAATCTCAGATTTATTCTCAGTTCTCTCATAAAAGGTCACGATGAGGCCCCAGTGCAGCGATGACCCTCAGATTTCGTCTCTGAGCACCTGCCTCCTCCTCCTCCTCCTCCTCTTCGTCTTCTTCTTCTTTAACTCAGACAAAAGTTCAGGTGATGCTTTCTTCGCTCCGGCCTGAACACTGAAATGAAATCTTCATTTTCTTTCCCACCAATTAGAGTCGTCGTCTGCGGTGGCAGCGCTCCACATTGCACTCTTGGACCTTCGTCAGCGGGGTGATGAGGCGATTCTCAGCCTGTGTGAAACGGAGCTGGCAGTCTCACATTCAAACTCCCCCCGCCACCCTTCTTCTTCTCCTCTCTTTTCTGCGGTTTCCTCCCCCGGCGATGCAGACAGCACAATAGTCTCACTGAGCGGTGACGATTAACACATAAAAGCGACACGGGGAATCTCGCAGCGAGATACGAGCGCACATGAGAGGGCGAAGCATTCATAGCATGCCAAGAAGTTCAGTGGGAGCCCCGGCTATCTGATTGGTGATCTTTTGTTTTGGCGGTGCCCTCGATTCGAAGGGAACGTGCCCAATCAGATTACAGCGAGCGAGACGACAATCGCTGTTTTCTATTTACTGCGTCTCTCTCCAAACGGCTTCAGGTTTCAGAGGAGGAAGTCAAAGACGCTCCATCTCAAAGACTCACCCTCCTCCTCCTCTTCTTCTTCTTCTCTTGTGTAGATTTGTTTTGTGCTGCAGTGTCAGGATCTGAGGCTGGATTAAGTCCACGTCTGAGCACAATCTGATATTCTTCTTAATCTGAACACTGAAAAACTGACTCAATGACAGCGGATCTCAGGAAACTGTTCGAGGCGTAAAACCACGACACAATTCAGAGCCTGTCCTTACATCACATCTGAGTTGGAGATAATCTGGAGGAAGATGCAGATACTGACCCGAGCCGTGGTTTCAGAGGCCGCTTCTTAATCTCAATCTGCGTGTGCATCCTCACTTATCACTATTAATTCATGTCAACGTGTAATCCAAAGTGCAAAATCCTGGATCCGTGTCCTATTTTTACAGAAGCAGCTGGAAAAATGCTGTAAATGACATCTTTACTTTTGAATATCTGACACAGGTCCTTAAAGTGGACATGCAGTTTTTTTTTAGTGCACTGAATCACAACAGGAGCCTGAAAGGTCCAAAATGTCACCTAAAAACAACCATCAGATATGTAACACATGAAATTCTTAAATTCTTAGTTATGAACCTCAGAGTGACTCAAACACTTTACATGAGCTGCAGGAAATCTCACTTTTTTACATTAAACTCCTGCAAAGGTTTTTCATCTAACTCCTTATGAAATGAGGAGATATATCAGGATAACTCTGACGGACTTTGGTTTGTTTAAACTCTTTTTTTAGACCCATTATTCAGATCATTAATCGAAGTTTTCTTCTGCATTTTTCCTCATCTATACTTGTGCCGTATTTTATTTTCCTCATCTTCTGTAAAAACCTGTTTCCAGCAGCTGGTTCCTTGTTTTCTGAACGAGGATCTTAAACGAGACTCTTTGGTCTGTTTTCTGTATCAGCGGTCGTCGTGGCATCTTTCCATTTTGGCTCGATGCTCTCTGAGTGTTTAAGTCCACCGTTTCACTTCTGCTGTGAGCTGCACTCCGGGTAAGACACCAAACTTGATACTTCATTCATAAGAATATAAATCTGAAACTTTTTCGTCATTTCTGTGAATTAAATCAGATTATTTTTTAACTAAATGACACTCTGCAGTAAAAACACAGACCGCAGAGTGACGCCTCGACTTTGTTTGTTTGCATAAAATACCGATTAATATAACGACTCCATCAGATTAACATTACATACTTAACATCATGTTTAAATCTCCACTGCAGAGATAGTTTATGTCGTAATTATGAGTCTATATTATGCATATTGACAGGTCATTATCCGGCGCACTAATATGCTGCTGTCATTGGCTGAATATTCTATGATAATGATCTAATTAGCATGTTGTATTAAGATGTGTTTAAATAGATGGTTCATGGAGAGGCTTTGAATTAAACCGAGTGGAGATCTGTGTGTGTGTGTGTGTGCGTGTGTGTGTGATTTACAGAGATGTTTGGATGTTATGATATTATAATAATGACGCACTTTCAGTTCTTTGTGTTACAGACAAACATGCAGATTTGTTGTTAAAGTTGTTTTTTTGCTTCTCGTCGTTCTCGTTTGTTTTTAAAATTAAAGCAGGTTTTTTTTCTGCAGGTTTAAAGTTTTGATCACGATGATGACGGCCGTTAAACTGTTAACATCACGCTCCTCTCTGACCTTTGACCTCCAGCTTTAATCAACCTGCATGTTTACGCCCGTTTAGGTGACGAGTTTCTGCAGATTTTTGGGACTAAAATTCGACAAAAATTAGTTAAAATCATCGACCAGGTCTGTGAGGAACATGTGATTAAATTATAATATGTAGATTTTTAACGGTGCAGAAGAAATCCAAAAACTCGAACTGTCACTAAAAATATCAGATTTTCTGTCTTTTATAAACAGTTTAAATGTAAAGATGCACCTAAAGCTGAATATCAGCATCTTTAACCAAAAAGCAGGATTCGACCAAACTCCGCTGTCTCTCAGATGATGTTTTTATTCGATATTTTTAATAAATCTGTATTTTAAAAGAAACGAGAGCGAACTGTGACAAACAATAATTATAAAACAGACTAAAAAACACAGAAAGTTTCTTTAGAAATCACCAAATATTTTGAACAGGAGGATAAAGTCGCTGCTCTCAGGACGGTCAGGACTGGACGGACTTTGATTTGGACCTTTTCTCTTTTTCACGGAGACGTTCGCCTGTTCGACTTCGTTTTACTCTGAATTTGAGAAATTTTGAGCTGAAAAGGTCAAAGGTTACGACCCTGCAGCGTGAGGCGTCTATGAATAGGCGCTCCTGGTGTAGGCGCTGACTCATGTTTGGATATATTTGGGACATATTGATATTTTCAAAGCTGATAACATGTAGGTGTTTTTTCCTTATTTGACAGATCTGATATTTAACTGTAAATTAGCATTTATGACACATTTTCCTGCCTGATGCTCCAGATTATTTCTGATTACATAATAATGTTTTTGATAAACTGCCCGGATCAGACCGCAGCAGCGAAGATGATGATGATGAATGAAGTCGCCTCAGTCATTGTCTTTCTCCTGTTGTCGCTCAGAGCGTCAGGATATTCAAAAATCGGACTTTTGATGCTCGCAGAGATCACACCGAAATATTAACCACAAACAGGAAACAGGAGTTATTATTTTTAAACTTAAAAAAAGCTTCATGCGTTTGGAAATGTTGTTATAATATTATGTTGCATTTAAATAAACCTGATATTGCAAAATTCACGGATTTTAACACGTTTTAAGAGCCGATACTCAGATTTATTGACTGTAAATATAAATTCTGACACTTTTAAAATTTACCAGGTTTACAAATTAAAACCTAAAAAGATAAAATCACTAGAAAAATTTAATCAAATGCAAAAATTTGCTTAAATTTTAAATGATGAGATATAAATCAGAGCGCACGTGCAACATGCATTATTGGAAATATACGCTGTGGGTAATTTGAGATACTTCAAAATTACAAATATTAACTTTAAAAATATAATTTTTGTTTTTTTAATGTTTGGTTTGGTAAAATCAGATGAATTATATCGATGTTTTTATTCTATATTTCACCAACGTTTACTCTAAAGGTGCAGAAGTGAGAAGAGAAGAGTTCACATGTCGAGGGGAGTTTTTTTTTAATTTAATCATCTGGCAGAATATTTCCAAATCTTCACATTTAATGGCAGAAATGTCTCCTCATTAAGAGGAGAAGCCTTTGATATTTCATTTAGACCATCACAGGACACTTAGAGTCTCCACTGAAGGCCGAGAGCTGAAATAATTTAAGAGTTGGAAGCACTTTAAAGCAGCAGAAAAACAGTGGAGCCTTTCTTCACTCAAAGAACGGCACCAAAAAACAGCTAAATCTAATCAGGAGGTCAGGATTTCTCTCTGTTTCTCTCTGCTGCCGTCGCACAAAAGCTTTCTTTATGACAGATTAAATAAAAAAATCTGAATCGTTGAGATTTGAGAGTGAAAAAGCGAAGCAGAGCAGCGTCTGAGCAGCTCAGTGAGAGACGGGGTTTAAACTGTAGGGTGCAGCAGTCGTCTTTCAAACACGACGAGCTGGAAGCAGCCGCAGAGCCGAGGAGGAGGAGGAGGAGGAAGAAGGGGAGGAGGAGGAGGAGGAGGCCTGAACACAAGAACCACTAAAGCTCAGAGACGAAGAAGAAGAAGAGGAAGAGGAGGAGGAGGGAGGAAGAGAGAGAGAGAGAGAGAGGAGGGAGGGGGTGATGTGTAATTACAGACTACATACTAACACCCCCATCGTCATTTACATTAGTTGATGTCGTGGAAAAATATTAGATGAAGATTGTTTTCATGCGACGGAGGGAATCCACACACACACACACACACACACACACACACACGCACACATATCTAACAGGCCACTTGACCACTTAAGTTGCAGCGATTATCCCGTTAACTGACACGAACCTTCAGCAGGAGCGTCACGGAGCAGCGGCCAATCACAGGAGGCGTTACATCCGGCACAGAGCGCGTCTGTCTGATTCCGCTTTAATTCTGTTTTAATGATGATGTGTTTCACTCTGATTTCTGCTATTTTCAGCTCTTCCTATTGGCTTTTTATCGGCCCTCGTTTGTCTGTTCGGCTTGTTTTGACTGCGACTGGAAGGAAGGACGGACTGACCACCCAGGAGCCCACCGAGGAGGACGAAGAGGAAGAGGAGGAGGAGGAGGAGGAGGTCTGAGATTAAAAATAAAGCTCAAGTTTTATTGTTTTAAAATTCCTTTCAGGTCATAAGTACAATTATCTGCAGAAGGAGCCTCATCCTTCACTCTGAGCCTCTTCCTGGTTTCCTCTCACCCCTAAATTTGAGCCGAGTGGTTCAGTCCGCTCCTGTTTCCTCCATGTTTACATCATTATAACTTTAGGGTAACTCAGGTAACCATCAGCTGGAGTCTCTACCCTCTCAGATCTTCATGCATGCTGATTTGTGGTGCGTTGAGTGTTTCTGGCTTTAACAGGTCAAAGGTGAAGTAAACACGAGGTTACAGGAGCTCTGCAGGGTCAGCTCAGGCTCAAGTATCCTGATCCTCCCCTAAAATCACAGCAGACCTCATCAGCCTGTAAAACCATCTCAAATGGATGTACACATGTCACAGTTTCTGTAATAAATGTGACACTCGAATGTGTTTTTCCACTCTTGATAAAAGCGCTCGTCTAAGATCCATATGGCTTCAATTTGGTGATGATGTTCATATTTGAAAAAGCCGAGCATGTGTGCGCTGATTCCCCAGATCTGTCATTAAACCAGGGTGGAGATTCTCCTCAAGGTTCGACCACACTGTCACCAAAACTCCCACAATCCTTCAGGCCACATCACTGAGACCTTTTAAAGTTACATTTCAGGCATTTTTGGACTCTATTAGACGAGGCGGCTGAGAGAGGAGGGGGGAGGTGAGGAATACGAAGAGCAGGAACGGTGATCGTTTCTGAATGAAGGGTTGAACCGCGGAGAAAAACGACTCTTATTCTTAGAAACTTTGACCAAAGTGTGAGAGTCATTATTGTCAATGATCTCTAAAAGTTAAACTGTATTTGATTTTATGTCTGAAACAGATTAAAAAAACAACCAGAGATTCAGCAAAAGTGCATCTACAGATTGGACAAAGTATAGTTTAGGATTTCTTTACTTTCTGACTGATTTAAATGCAAATTTACAAATTATTTCAGCTTCTTATAAACGCTGTTTAATCAACAAGAATATCAGGACAACTAAAATCAGCGTCTGCAGCAGCATCTGTATATTCTCTGCTGAAATAAATATAAAGGAATAAAAACACAACAGTATTTTTCTCTGCATACGTTACATTTGTGTTACTTAAATTAAATAAGTTTGTGTGACATGATCCTGCACTGAGACTGTTTTTAATATGAAACAGAGTCAGAAAAGAAAGTTAAAGCTGCACTAAAAACTCAGATTGAAGAACTTTGGGGAACATCAGGACTTGAATTTTCAGAGCAGAAGATTACTGAGTTTTTGCTTCAGAAAAAGTTAAAATGATGGAGGGACTGAAAGTATTTAGACCAAATTAAAGTCCTCCTCCTGCAGAGTTCACAGCCTCACGTCAGTTTTTACCTTTTACTTGATTTGTTGTAAAATAAACTATAATATCGACCTCTGCAGCTCACGTCTCCTCTTGTTCTTTGAGTTCAGATAAAATCGTCTGTCTGCAGGAAAACTTTGAAATCGTTCTTTTTTATGAAGAGGGTCAAAATAAGTTCGATTAGATTCAAAGTGGGACGCTCGTGTTGCTGCAGCCATGTTTGTTTTGCTGATTTGTCTCTCGGCTGTGCAGGTTCGTCTGAGTCTGCAGGTCGGGTTTTTCTAAACGCCGGTAAGAACTTAGTCCTCGTTTCAGGATGTGACGTTTACACGCACAAAGACAAAAACCTGCATCCTCAGAAACCAGATCAGAACGGGGACGATAAAGTTGGTGTGAATGCACCGATAGTTTTTTCTCTAAAAGTATATTTGCTGTTAGAGTTATACTTCCTGTAAATAAACCTGATTTTATTCTGCAGATTCAGAACCGTTTTTCATCCTTTGTAAAATCACGTCTTGATTCTTTAAACCTGAAATGTTGGTGCATTCATTTATTTTAGTAAATGTTTTTTTTGTATCTGCTTGTCTAGATGTTGAGCTCTTCTTACATGTGTAGTTTTAATAAAAGCTCTCACATTTATTCTTTATTCTCCTTTTTTAATTTTATTCTTAATCATTAAAACAAATGAACTTCCGAGCTGCGCCTGCTCCTGTTTTTCTCTCAGTTTTCTGGTCTTAAACAATAACCCTCCTCTCTACATCCTGCACACATGTGGGAAATGAAATCTCAAATTGATTGAATGCTTTCAATTTTAAGTCCTACCCGGGCTTCCGTACCTTTAGGCCACACGTTTCAGATCAGAGCGTCTCTCTTTCTTCTGACCTCCCCACCTCCTCGCAGCTGATCTGCACCTGACAGGAGACAAAAGGTGGCGAGCGTTGGAGCCCGGTGTCTGTAAATGGCGTGCGGAGCGGCTGTCACATGAAGAAGACACATTAGTAAATAAGAGCGGGTTGATAACAGTGAAAACGCACCATCAAATGTACTTCATAATGCTTTACGGCTGCCATTCGCTGACGTTTATATATCACTTTTTAGTGGCGGGCCAATGAAACGCCGGCTTTGAAATAAAGTCGGCCATGATTCATGTCTCTGCTGTGTCAGTCTTACATTAATATTATGACCATATCCATCATGTCGGCCATCTATAATGAACAGATGCTGTAAAACACAATTTGGCATGACAGGAGGGAGAGGTGGAGGGAGAGAGCGGCTCCGATGGCAGCGTGATGCTTTTCAGACGAGCTCTGCAGCTCCACCAGGCCAGGATCTGCAGAAACACTCACTTTTTATTCTTCACTTTCTGCTCACCTCGGGGCAAAGTGACATTTAAACGGCTTTTTTACTGTTTTATAGGCTCAGAATCTAAAGATATTATCCGGGTTAGCTCATGGAGACACAGAGGAAGGAGCTGATCAAGAGCAGCAGAGGAGTTTATCATAATCTGATATTTTTAGGGACTTTTTGGTCAACAGATCTTAAATAGTTCAAAACAAACTGAGACTGTAGATGTCAGGGGAAGTCGACAAATCAAAATTATGGACTTTTTTCCCCTTTTTGCTCTTTTTTAGATCATTTTGGAGACCGACAGGTAAAAACACTCTGTGTTTAAGACGGGGATAAATCAGATATTAAAACAGACGGGTGCTAAATTAGGCGATCTTAAATGTCATGTGACCTTCCTGCAGGTCCAGATCTTTGAGTCTACATTAGATCAAAAGTGATTTTTCCATGTGAGGCAGCGTCACATGATCAAAACAAACACCAGCTCCTTTTTTAACCCTTTTATAAAACATAAACGCTGTGGTATGATCGTCTCCTGATTCACGCCTCGACTCTTCAACTCTTTTTGCATGTTTACATGTTTCTGAATCAAAGCTTACAGTCCTGAGTGCAGAGACGGTCTCTATATTGATGCTTAAAAACAGCTCGTGCATCTTCATTTAAAGCTTCGTGCACATCGTTTGCACCTGAGCTGCGTTGTTAAGTCTGAAGTCAGAGTTTACTAAAAAGCTTGTTTTTCCTCCCGCCTCATTTCAAACCAACAGATCCAGAAGATTCTCGGTGCTCTCGCAGACTCGAGGTGGACTCTGCATCTGATTTCTGCGGTTTTGTGTTTGGATAGCGAGTCTTGGAAACATGTCAGACCAAAAACCTCTGATAGAAATATCCTCCTGACCCCTCAGACACAGAAATAAAAGTCAACCTCTCCTTCCTGGCAGGAAATCAAAGTGAGAAAATAACAGCATAGCTCTCGTTTTGTTGTTGTGCTGTATCATTTCGCTGACATATGTCGGCTGTCAGGTTTCGGGTATCTGACACAGACAGGAGCCTCGTATAGTTTTCATCTCGAGTCCTCCCATGGACGGAGGGTTCACATCACGCCCGCTGCCAAAAATACCCTCCAGCTCGGGCTCTATATCCGACCAGCAGAGTCCCGCTCTGCGGCCAGGCGGCATGCAGAGGTTGTAGGTGTCCTCTGTCGTCGTCCATTGTGGACACAGACTGCAGATTTTTTTTCTTTCCACGGGAGCCCGTCGGCGCCGAGTTTGTCTCTGTGCTGCTGCTCAAACAGATTCTTTTAGCATCCTGCCAGATTTCACGCCACGTCTCAGCTGTGATTCCTACACTGAAGTCGTTCTCCTGCATCTGTTTAGTGGCCTGTGTGATAACGCAGGTGGTGGCAATCAGCACAGACTCTAATATTTTGAAGAGGAATGGCTGTTTGTGTGCGTTTGCGCTGCAGAAAATGGCCAATAAAGCTCAACTGGGCTTCTAAAAATGAAGTGTGAGTAAAAGTGGAGTCTGTTTTCCGCCGCAGAAACGACTCACTGAGAGATTTTATTCTTCTCTTTAATAATGAATGGCACATGCGCCCGGATTTACACAAAAACGGGACTGGGTTAATTCATAAATGTGCGTGAAAAACCTTCAGTTCAGGTGAGATAAAAAGAAAAATTAAATTGAGGCGTTTTTGTGAGAGCGAGGAGAGAGAGAGAGCGCCTCCAGGTGAAGTCAGAGCCGGCCAAATAATCACATTATGCGCCAAATTCCACCTTCTTCATGTCTATCTCTAACCTCTCACACTCTCACTCCTCATTCTCATATCTTTGGCTCTTTAAACGCACTATTTCAAAAATGCTAATTTCCTAAATGTGTTTTGCCGAGTGCGTCCGCAGCGCTGATGGAGGTGCATATTTCTCTTTCATTTCCCCCTCTCGGCCCGTTGGAAATTACACACAGCCTTGTTTTGTATGCAAAGATACTTCCCTTGCTCTGGGAAATTTTTATTTGTACGCCGTCTTTCCTGCTAATGCAACAAATGAGAAATGGCGATCCGGGCCTCGGGAAATGCTCGGGCCCCGGCAACTGGCGCTGTGATGTTTGAGCATAAGCCTCTCCTTTAAAAGAGCGTGTTGATTCTCCATACCCCAATATTGACCAACCGTCTCTGTTTGATGTATGCATCACACACACACGCACGCATGCACACACACACACACACACACACACACTCATAAACTCCCCCAATGTTTGGGCTTAACTTGTTAGTTCTGCTTCTGCTGATGCCCCCAGATATAAGTGAACGATCGGCTGCTGTGATGGACGGAGCGGGCGAGCGGGCGGGCGGGCGGGCGTCTGTCTGCTGGAGAGTTTGCACACGCTCACTGATGGGTGACGGATGAACAGTAGCGTCTCTGGGCTCAGACTTTATCGTGTTCACGTGTGTTTACATTTATCAGAAACACAAAGATCGTCACGGTTATGATCGAAAACTGAAAAATGAAACCGGGTTTGAACTCTTGAACCCCGTCACCTCACTGAAATGAAATATTCTGGATTTATGAGACTGTCTAATCTCTGAAATCATCGGCTATAATTTCACATTTGTGTCGATGATTGTGCACAAACACACACACACGTGGAAAGTGGAAATTCAACGTGGCAGCAGAGGTAAAAATACTGATCAGATCTGCATCCTGTTGAGCACATCTGACGCTGGAACCCTCAGCACACCGAGCTCTTTCTGCGCCGTCTCTCCGGTGGGAAGGAGTGCTGTTATTAAAGCAGAAACATCCACATCGCAGATAGGTATCTCCTTCAGATCGAGGATAATCCCCGCTGAGGCTCCGCTCCGACACATCGAGAGCTGCTGAAGTTATCTCACCAGGAAAATATTTACTAAAGTGTCTGAACAGTGTAAACCTAATTACTGTGAACTAGGTCAGAAATCTGAGTAAAGAGTAATCAAACTGAATATTTAATGCTGTGTATTACTGCGTTTCTCTCCCTCGCACACAGTACTGGATCTTTTCAGGGGTTTTTCCTCCACCTTCATCCATCCCTCCGGTCCTGTCTGAGAGTATTTTAAACCGAGTCACCTGATGAGAGCTCTGCGGCGGTCTGGTTGTAATAAAGAAGCAGAAAGGAAGAGGTTTCTATTAATAGAGGAGTTGACTTGTGGCCTGCAGATGACAGGAAGAGAGGCCTGTCATGAGGAATGCCTTTGTTATTTTCCCCGTCCAGGGAGGAAATGAATTTCTTGTGATTTTTCAGAAAGGCTGCCCGTGGGCGCAGGCATCCCCGAGTCGAGGCTGGAGGAGGGACAGAAATAGACGGGAGAGAGGCAGTTGATGTGATGATGAGCGCTTTTCTGTTTCAGGTTTGATGCGTCCGTTTCGGGCGTGTGTTGAAAAGGTTTGGAGATGGAGCGAGCTTCAGTGTGGGAGGCCCGTCCCTCCGTCTGAAGCGTCTGCGTTCAGTCCAAGAATGTATTGTGTCGTCATTTGATGTTCCTGTTGGAGGGCGATGAAGAACTCCCATCAGCTCGCTTTGAACGCATGTGACAACTTTTCCGGGAAGGAATCAATCTTTGAAGCAAACGGCCAAACCTTGAGCTAATGTATGTTGACGACGGCGGCGGTGGCGAGCAGACTGTATGAATCTTATCTGTACTTTTATTGGTTTAGTGAGGCTGTAATGAGCCGCAGAACCCCGATACAGCAAAACCTCAGAGACGTTTGCTCCTAAAATAAGAGATTTGATTCACAATTAGAAACTTCCAGCTGATGGATTTTGGAAGAGATCAGGGCGCTCAAGTCGTATCGGGGCGGGTGTCCTGTGACCCAAACACGGCAGGTTTCTTTAAAGTCCTGTGAGTTTTATGATGCACAAAAAGAAATCTACACCGACTGAGTTTTGGTTTCATGAGAATGAACGAAACCTTCAGATCTTGGGCTCATCAGCGGGGGTCAGAGGAATCCACAGGAAGTCCATCACGACTGTGTGAAGTCACTTTAACGGCCCTCAGAAGTGTCTTCAGAAACCTTTCATGGTATACTCTCTTCTGAAAGTAGGACTGTAATCCAGAAACAGTTTGATAGATGTGCTCTTCAGGTCTTTAGGTAGAGTGAAAACTTCTGCACTTTAACGAAGGGTTTAGTTTAACTTCATTATGTCTATCTGGAGAGGGCAGAACCTTGTTATAGAGGGGGGTCGTTTTTGGGCCACAAACTCCAGCTAAAATCATCCAACCCTGAGCTGATCGGTTAAAGGTTAAAAGAGACTTTAAATAATTATCTAGAACCTGCAGACAGTGTTTTAGTTTCTCCGTTTTCTCTGTAATGTTGGT